TTGGTCGCCTATAAATAGCATCTAGCTGAAATTGTGTTGTGGAAAGCGTAAGGCATTCTATGTTGGGATTTGAAACAGTGTAATCATCTATGACGTCATAGCTGTAACCTTCTTTGAGGTATATTGCCAAACCACTGCCCCTTTCTTCTAATCTGTCGAGTCGTTCGCACGTGTAAGCACCAATAAAGGGAGCAGTATCGTTTTTCGTGAGCCAGGTTTCAGAAAGTACAACAGCGTCGAACTGAGTTCCTAGTGATTACAAGTATGTCTGCAAGCTATCATGTTTGTTTCTAACACTGTTTGTTTTCAAATGAAAGAATGAGAAGCCCGATTGCTGTGCCTAGTGAGTCGCCTTATATGTTTGAGGTGATTGTACCACACAACCATCCATGACCATTTTTTTTTGGTGATCTTATAATTCTTAAACCATCTTTGCGATGTCATCTTCACTAATAATTCGCATGACCTCGGTGTGCTCATCTTTCCGGGCAAGTATCTTTCCTCCGGTTGTCCATACGAATTTCCAACTGAGTTCACGCTTTTTAGTGAGTGTAGCGGCAAGCAACTGCTTGTTCTGTCGAGATAAATGTTCATTGACATATATTGGTATTTTTGTGTCTCTTTGGCCAATATCCTTTCCGGAAATTCTCACATATTTAGCTTTCTTAAGTACTTTGTCCTTCACAGAGCGTCTTACAAAGCGTACAACGATGTTCTTTTTTCTGGGTCCTTAGTAGGCACGTAATGACATACATTTACATCGTATTCACGAATTTCCATACTCAAAAATTGGCATATCTTATGTACGGCAGTCAACGGGTCAAGCTCGTGCGACGCACCCTTCATCTCGAGGATGCTGCCCCTTTGATATTGTTCTATTTCTTGAATCTGAAGATTTAATTGCTTATTTTCTGCTTCTAGTTTTTTGTTTATGGCAGTAGTGTCCTTCATCTCAGTGCGAAGTTCCTTTATTTCCTTAGTCAGTTCTTTCACTTTATCGCAAGTGTAACTGCAAAACTGAATCGATTGTTTCAACCCTCTAAATTCGATGCGCAGCTCTCGTTTGAAATCATCCAAAGTGGCAGCAAACTCACTTTCTTTATCCCTGTCCCTCCGATCCTTACTCATTTCTACAGATTCAAAATTGAGATCAGTTCACGTGCAAGTCACGCAGGTTCAAAAGTAGCACGTATAAACACAATGCAGAATGCTCGGCAGCAGCGCAATTCTAGATCTAAACTATTACATCTAGAACTTTCAACAGTTCTTAACTGCAAGATTGCAGTGAAATTTTTAGCCCTTTTGTCGCTTCTTTGTGCTGCTGCCGAACTGATTGATACACTTATTCTCCGCTTTGTCGCGGCTGCCGATTGCTCTATTTTTCCAGGTCATAAGCATATCTTGACGCTGATATTCGATATCGTTTTACAGCGAAAGCTGTTATGAGATCACAATTCGGGCCACGCGCAGTTGTCCGCCACCGCCACCACCAGCGGTGTCCGTAACCACATCGCGTGAAATGAGGAAAAAACTAACACCAAAGACACAGTGGGGCCCGAACCCAGGTCCACTGGGTGCCAGCCCAGCATTTTAATACTGAGCTACCCTGGTGCTGGTGATTTATTGGCAATCTTTTCTTAGGCAAACCTCATGTCGATAAAGCATTCGTGGTAATATGACTTATAAAGTGTTTTAAAGCAGCGAAAGAACAACCAGTCTTCGCACAAGGAGAATAGCGTAACGAGTGGACCGTCCGATGCTCCAACTCATTACAAAAGCTTTTTTTGTTCACCTACTAGCTGTGGCACATACCCACTTCATTCATAATTTCTCATCGCTGTCAGCCACTGCATGAACAATTGGCACAAACTTCCTTGCAAGTGTTTGGCGGATACCACGCTTCTCAAAGAATGACGTAAAACAGCACAGAAATTGCCGGCCTACAGCCCAAAATTTATTAATAATGCCCTAGTGGGTATCAAGCAAGTTTACTTTCAGTAGTTACCCATTGATTGTTTTGAAAATACTCTTAAAGGCCGCTCTACTGGCTTTCGCTGTGACTGTGCTGCGCATTCCGCTTAGGCTTAGCGTTTTTCACTGGGGATGTCTTCTTTGCACTGTCCGGATGTTACATATCTTGGGGCCTTACCATTGCTCTTAGCTGTGCAATTTCATGATCATATGAGCGTCGGTCACAGCAGTTAACTCTACTTCGTTTCCTATAGACCATTTCACTTGTTTACAAACATGCGCAAGGTAGCCTACCAGGCTCAGCCAAGGTTAACCTCCCTGTCTTTCTTTCATCCTTATTCTCTCTCTCTCTCTCTTTCTCTCTCTGGCCTTTGTTGACATCTGGTTTTGTCCACCGATGTTGCTTAATAGCATCGCTAGATAACAAGAGCTTTTGAAAACAGCCCACTGATTTTCTACAGTTTCCTTCACTTGTTTTGTGAAATATACTCAAATACCTGCTCTTTTGAGCTACATATAAATTATAAACGATTCGCGTGTACTTTACGCGCGTTCCTTTTATGTGAAAAATGAAGGAGAGACTTTTCTCACTCTTGCAAAGAACTTGAAAACATGATTCTTGTTTCGATGTTAGAAGCTGGTAAATGAGGTGACTGGAAGTTTTTGGAGTACAACGCTTGAAACCTTGAAACCGTCTATAGCACTGCTTCAGGGCACGACTTCGACTTGCTTTACCACTACCCAAACACTTTCTCTCAAGTCCGTCCAGGCGGACTACAATCTTTAGCTTGAATACCGATGAGGAATATACTACGACGACTACTTTAACAGCCCCACTAAATTCCAATTTTTCTGGAAGTGCAAAAAGAAACACTTTTAGCTCTGCTTCAAAAGCGCAGTGCTTCGTTTCACGTCCGTTCCAGGATACTGGGCCTTACTTCAGTCGTAGGGCATCGCATCGAGACTCAAGTAAATACAATAGACCTTTTTTCAAGCAATCGCACAGAGCCCCGCGGGCGCAGAGAGCACTACGGGAAAAGCTCGTACGCCGAGAGAACCGGCTCTTTCTCCGTTCGCTGCTCGTTGGCGCCGCTTGTTGAATAGGCTTAAACGCACCTGCATGTAAATCTACGCATCAGATGTGAAATGACTAACGCAGTCAGTGTAGGTATCACTGGACGGTTGTACATCGAACGCAGAAGATGAGCAGCATCCGAGTTGTGCGTACCTGTACATGTGGTCAAAACTTGTTTTCTTGAGCAATGTGAGCTGGGGCACGAAATTCGTAGTTATTCAACGATGGACTGACTGCGCATAAAGCGACATGGCTTGTAATACCATCGTGGTTTATTGGGCCCGTAACACAAGACTGCAGAAAAGTGTTACAGCTATAAAATTATTTTTTAACATTTATGAACAAGTCTTGCGGTAAAAGAAACAAAGAGTAAACACATTCTGAACGTGTTCAAAGACGAAGGGACAGAACTGGAGTTCACATGCGAGATACCTTCGTCTAGTAATTTTCGGAGGCTGAATTCACAAAGCTTTTTCTTGGCTACGCAGTTTCTTAGCCAAGAATTCTCTTATCTGAAGGGATAACTATAGTACAGGTACAAATTTCACTTATTCGGCACTTAAGAGGGCGAGGAGGACACACGATAGCTAATGAAATGAGAACGAAAGAAAGAGGTGTGTGCCGATAATATCAAGGTAGCGCGCAAAGCGTCAAGCATCGAGAGTATACGATGATAGCTAATGATTTGTTGCATCTAAGTTTCAGTTCCGCGAGCGTCTGCTATAGCACTTACGGGATGCCGCATCCGTTGTAATAGACGTTTTGGTGTGCTGTGCAAAGCCAAGCACTCGCCTTTCATCAACGACTGTAGCTAAAAAAGAAATTGCTCGATGGCCTTAAGCCATCGAGCAATCCATACACTATCTCACCAAGTATAAGTAAACAACACTCCACGTGCGCCACATAGATGAAACCACGCATAAATCGATGAATGCAATGTTTGAAAATGTGCCTCCAATGTATTCCCCTGTTTAACGCGACCAGTTACCTTACATTTTAATGAAGCTGCGCTGCTGCTCAACTAATCCGGTGTAATCGAGCACTGTATAGTGGTGTACGTAAGGGTGCTCTGTACCAAGAAGTGAAAGGTTGCCTTTCTTACAATACTCTTATTACAAGACACAGGAGCGACTTTTGTGCCTGCGGACGGATTGTGCAGAAATAGAGAACAGCAGTAATCAAACAAAATTGGGAGCGGAATTTCGCTGGTTCCATGCACATCAGCAATATTATAAAGCTGGAATACGAGAACGTGCATACGCTTACGCTTAGATATGTGTCTACGTAAAACGAGGGAGACTCGTCGGGAGGTGTTTCAGTGCTAATGCTTTTCACAAAACACAGTGCAAATATTTTGTCCTGCGTTGTTTGAGTGAGCAAACAAAGCAAGGGACGTGTATACGAGTCTTGAGGTCGAGAGACGTTATCACACGTGCAAAAAGGACGAAACAGAGAGAGAGAGAGAGAGAGAGAGAGAGAGAGAGACTCTTGTTTCGTCTACACAAAATCTTGAAATCGATAGATAATAAAGACCATTTTCTGGCCCAGCAGACGTCCGGGAAAGTTTTCGCAAAGCAGCGTTGGATGCTTGGATAGCATAAAAAAGGGGAGTACGCTTTTTATGAGTTTCGAGCTGCAAGAAGGAGCGGTGTCTTGCCTGTATGATATTGCATTAGTTTGTTAACAGCTCATTTGCAGTGCAACAAAGATTATTTTGGATGACCATTACCGCAAAAATGTCACAGCTTTGCCGCGACGGTGAAGGAATGAATGCGATACCAACAGATTAGAAGGTCATGCACACACTTGAAAGCAAATCGAAACGCACCACACGTTTCTCACGCACAAATGACGCATGAAACGTACTCACAGGTTTAGATTCACGCGAATAAGCGTCGGAGTTGCTACTTCGCTGTGTCTGAAAAGCGCGCGCTTTTCGCAAACGGAGACCGCAATGATTGCAGTGACATTTGTGCGCTCGGTGCCTACAACAGAATTGCTACAGGCAAAGCCCGAGGCCAGCGAAGACGTACGATTTTCCCCCTTCTCACGACTGTGAGATAAGGGCGTGCGAGGTAGCGTCACTCCCCTTTTCTGAGCGGGGCAAAGTACACGTGGGAGATTAGAGCGTGCGCCACCGCGTGATATCACGACGTACGCTGATTGCGCCATCATGCTCGTTATGCTGAAAATCCGATAACTACTCCCAAGGTGCCCCCCAGCAGCGGTAAGTAGTAGATATAAATAGCTTGCCATTTGATCGTTGAAGGCGCGCTCCTCGTTGGCTCAGTGGTTAAGACCTAGCACTCACTGTTCCGAGAACTCAAGTTTGATTCTGCGCGCAAGGGTTTTTTTTCTTTTTTTTCCTTTCTCGTATACACATATATATAGTTATACATACATTTACGGTGAGTGACGGCGATGCTGACGTCAACACCGACGGCGAAATCCAGCCGAGAGACTCAATATATTGCTATCACAATAGAAAAACTAGGAATGTTGCAATTATTCTATGCATACGTTCTGCACAGTCTGAATGAAAGGTTCGAAGTGATAAGAGGTGAGGTTTTTTTTTCGCATATTATGCTTAGTAACATTTCTTCCGTATAGAGCGCAAAAAGTCGAAGGGGTCTGCAGTTGGCATAGAAAAGTACTATGAAAGGCATGCCAATTGTTCTTTCAATTGTTGTGCAAAATTGCTAACCGAATTCCTCTTGTGTTCTATATATTATTCGGTCAGACAGGTCGATTTAGCAACACGCGCGTCAGAGATCATCACAATTCATTGAATGAAGCCATCTGATCACACCTCACATTTTCAGTGATGCGATTTCACCTTTTAAGGCCTCGTTGTTTTGCACAGTTACCCTATAACGAGACGACGCGATAAATCTTGGAGACATATTATAAAGAACACCGCACCTTGTTTAAGTCAACTAACCTTCGCCATTGCTATACAACGCAAAAAACTTAACTTTATTATTCAACTGTAAACACGCGCCTCGGTTGTTAGTTTTTTTTGTACCTCTTTGTGACGTGGGCGATGCGCACCCAATTTCTTATATATGTTTTTTAACACGTGCGATAACGTTTCAGCCGTGAGTGAGTGTTTCCGGTGTGCATATTGCTTTCCTGGTCCTACTTCTTTCTTCGGCCTGGACAGATGCGAGCGGCGGTTGTTGCTTCGCCTGCGTACTGGCAGCGTCTGGCCTGCGGCACGCATGTATTCCGCGGGTCGCTCTTCATCGCCAGCGTGCCGAAGGTGCGGTGATGACGAAACGCTGCAGCATATTGTTTGCTCCTGCCCTGACCTGGCCACTGAGCGTTGCGCACTGGTAAGCCGCTATCGTCTGCTTGGACTACCTGCCGAAACAATGGAAGACATACTTTTTCCCGCGCGCTCGAAGACGAAAGCCCTTCGAGCCTTCCTCGAGTTCTGTGCTTGCGCGGACCTCGCCGCCTTATAGACGGACTCTTTTCACTCGCACTACTGACTGTACTGACAAGACGTTCTCTTGCCATGACATTCACTTTTTCTTTCCTTCCTCTCTTCTTCCTATCATCTTTACTTCCCCTTCCCCGATCCCTAAAGGCGCTGAGCCGTGCCCCCGCGACGGGAGGCAGAAAATAGCGTCCTTTTTGTCTCTTCCTCTTTTTCATTAATCTCTCTCTCTCTCTCTTTCTTCTAGCCCGGTAGGCTCTATTTAAACCTGCCTTACAGCTAGTGCCAAGGAAAGTTGGTAGATGCATATGCTGCCAGCGGTGCGCAGAGGTGTAGTCAATATATTTTGTTTTACGAAATTGCGTCTATTGCTAAAGCACTCTTTGAATGTACGAGAACCGTGCAATTTATTCGTAAAAAGCGTCAAAGGACATGATTCCTGATGCATCTGTGAATTTATGTACAGTGCTTGCTCATTTTAAGCAACCAAATTGTGCTGACTTCTTTTTTTACGCCGCAGGCGGACTGACGCTAAACAATATACTAATAAATAACTTACGCTTTCTTCGGCTGCTTGAACAGGGGGACAAGTGAAACCCGTACATGAGTCGTAGCACTTAAACACTTAAGTTAGCGAGTGAGACACGAATTATATATCACACCGTTGGCAAGTTCACTTGATTAGAGAAGTGCTGGCACGGTGCAAACGAAAAGATGAAGCGTGAAGCCCGCGCGCTGGTTGCGGTGTCGTCTGCTGTCGCGTGCCAACTTTTCCCATAGGCGTTTGCGCGCCCATTGGTGGAGCTACTGTGCATGAAAAAGGTCATTGGTACGCCACCGCCTCTATTATTGACAACATTCTAGCATTCTGATTCTATGGAAATGCGACCACCAGCGTTCAGAACGAACCAGTGATTTTAAGGTTGGCAGCCGGTTACCGCAGCCACTGCACCACTGCGCCACTGCAGCGGCTTGCATTTTGGTAAATTTATGGGTTGCCTCCGTAGAAAAATTGGCAGATGACACCAGGTACACTCTTAGAAAAACGGTGATAGTATTTCCCAACTTTAAGATAGTAATGGTTTGTCACATATGTTACAACCCTGGAAGTAAGCGCAGTTAGTAACGGCGAGGGTGGCAACAGTTACTATCTCTTCTGTTACTACCAGCACTTAGTAACTCTTACTACCCTAGCCGTTAGCACCCATGGGTAGTAACATTTAAAGGTTTCAAGACAGAACGTAGAATAGGATACTACCTTGTTCATTAATTTTGACATATTATTACTTTACTGCTAATGTTGCTGAATAAATGTCTCATTACTAGAAACCTTCGGGTAAGGAAGCGTGATGGGCAATGAATGCGAAGAATGCATACAGAAAACAAGTTCGCTATTTTTTACGTATACATGTAGAGAAGTAAGCGTGGGTTATATATAGCCCCTACTTTGCAGGAGCAGGTCTGGCATAGGGGAGCACTTATGTTTCAGGATGAATTATAACTAACTTAAGCCTATGGCACTATATTATACTACCTCGTTACGTGTGTTTCGTGACGTAGCACAAGACTTCATTCAGCATTACTTATAGAATTATATATGTTATATTTATTTCTTATAAAAAAGCCACAAAAGGTATTATGTACAGTGCCCGCAACAACAAACCGAACTCATTCTCAGTGCACTTCAATGCTTCACACGGCTAATAAATCAGCGTTTAAAGGGTAAAAATCGTTTTGTGGTTTTGACGCGCCAAAAGAATGATATTATTTGGAGACACGCCGCAGTGAAATAACTGTGACTGTCATCGGGGCTCATTGTGACCATCTGCTTGTTTTGTTCTGCTGGTCTTGTAATTATGTGCTGTAAGTTATTAAGATTGTTGTAATTGTCTATTGCAACGTCTGTAGCACTTGCTTATGGTTCGCTAACCTCTACTTCTCCCTTTCGACAATATCAGAATGACGTTTACATATCTCGGTTGCGTAATTTAAAACAAAACGTATTTTCTTAATCTAAGTATAGCTTCTGCGTCATTTTTCCGTTTAATGATAATACGTCGAGACGATTCCTTTCATAAATTATCAGAATCGCATTCACACACTATTTTGGATTAGATAGTCAAAAGCCGGATGGCAAAGAGGTAGCAACGGGGCAAGAAAGGTAGTAACGGCTGCAGTTACCACCTCTTTCATTCTAGTTACTAACTGTTTACTAACGTAGATTGTAAACACGTCGCAAAAAGTTAGTAACGGTTGCAGGTTGTAACTGTTTACTAACCTAGGTAGTAATCCCGGCTGCGGCGGCTGCATTTCCGATGGAGGCGGAAATGTTGTAGGCCTTTGTGCTCAGATTTGGGTGCACGTTAAAGAACCCCAGGTGGTCTAAATTTCCGGAACCCTCCACTACGGCGTCTCTCATAATCATATGGTGGTTTTGGGACGTTAAACCTCACAAATCAATCAATCAATCAACCTAAGTAGTAAACAGGTATCACAAGGGTAGTAACTCTTGAAGAAAGGTAGTAAGCGCTGCAGTTACTAGCTACTTGCTTGCAGTTACTACCTCTTCACTAACGTTTTTTTAAAGAGTGTACAGTAGGAATTGATTATATGCGAAGCACGAATGAGGAAGATTGTTATGTAAATTAAAATCAGCACAACCTGATGGGGCGCTCGATTGTAGTACACAGTAAACATAAGTAGAAATACTATGCACACTCAGGTATTTAGATAAGATGCAAGTATGTTGTTTATAGTTGAAAAACGACGGTACCACTAACGGATAGAATACCTCCAGCAGCAGCTATTGACATGTAAATTATGTCGCACTTGGCATCCACGTCACGCTTGTTATGTTCGCGCTTGAAGTTTGTGTTCGCCGTCCATTCACGTCACGTACTACAAAATTTGGTATACGTAAAGCTAGCGAAACAGCCACTAGCGCACCATGAACATGGTATATATTATTATTCTTACATTACACGCATGTCCTGCAGAATGTATTTGCACCAACCATATACATTCGTCATCCATTCACGTCACGTAATACCAAATTCAATATATCTGAAGCTAGCAAGATGGCCGCGAGCGTATCATGAGCGTGGTATGCATTCATGTTTTTAAATAGCACGCATGTCATGATTATCATGTTTGCACCTGTTATATACATTCGCCATTCATTCACATCAAGTAACACAATCTTAGTGTATGTGCTAAGCCAGCGAAATGGCCGTGAGCGCACTGTGAGTCTAGCATGTAGTCATATTTCATATCCCCGCCTAGGTGGTCTAGTGGCTAAGGTGCTCTTCTGCTGATGCACAGGTCGCGGGATCAAATCGCGGCTGCGGCGGTTGCCTTTCCGATGGAGGCAAACATTTTGTAGGCCCGTGTACACGTTAAAAAACCCCAGCTGGTCCAAACTTCCAGAGCCCTCCACTATGGCTCTCTCATAAGCATTTGGTATATAGTTTAGGGACGTTAAATACCACATATCAATCATATTCTATATCACAAACATATCAAGATTATCATGTATGGCAGTGCCATTTACCTTCGTCATCCATTCGCACCACTTAATACCAACTTCGGTGTATGTGAACCTTGCGAGACGGCCACGAGTGCATCACGAGCGTGGTGCGTAGTCATGTTCTTACGTAACACGCATGACATGTTTTCACCAGTCATATGCTTTTTTTCATTCATTGACACCACGTAACACCAAATTTGATGCATGTGAAGCTAGCGAAACAATCGCGAGACTAACATGAGCGTATGGTGTCACATCAGGACATACATGAGACGCATGTCATGATTTCCACATTCAACCTGTCACTTATGTTCACCATGCAGTGACCTTACACCACAGCAGTGTTGCAATCTCTCATGTGAACGAAACAAGCGCATGAGCAGAAAGATCAAGACACGTAAATCCTGACATTCACGACATACATGATGTTATTTCATGTTATTTGTAGTCACTTATGCTCATCATACAGTCATGTTAGATAGATAGATAGATAGATAGATAGATAGATAGATAGATAGATAGATAGATAGATAGATAGATAGATAGAATAGATAGATAGATAGATAGATAGATAGATAGATAGATAGATAGATAGGCTGAAGGCCACCAAAGATGACTAATAAATACTTCGCATTTGAAAGCTGAGAGGGCAAGGGTGCTTGAGAATATAAATCTTCACCGTGAAAAGACGACATATCTCATTATAGTTCCTTAATGAGACCCTTCAGGGAAACTGGACAAGGCAGCTGTTTCTCAGAATGGTTGTTGTTTAGAAGGCGCAGAGCGACTGTTGGAACCGGTGGCATCGGCCCCCTCTCCCAGACCTTGCCTACTGAAAGTGCAGAGGAGACCACCTATTTCTCGTGATTGCAGCTACGTCAGCTAGGTCCCGGGAGATATATAAATTGGGCTGAAGTTTACGGTCGACTACAACACCTCTCCGCGCTAAAAAGCAGCAAACGCGTAGCGATAACAAGAGGCCCAACTCTGGTATTCAAAATCTTCAGATGAAGGTAAGGATGTTTTTGCTGTTTATGACGGGACATGACTTCAATTGATTCCCGAAAATCAACTCCTTTGTTCTACTTATCAAAATATTTCTATTTAGGACTGCTAATCAAAGTGATTGTTCAGTGGTCTGAATATATGGCGCTTACTGAACAATATATAGGCTGAAGTCGCTGCCCTATTACGCTTCACCCTTCACCCCAATGCGCACGTGCTTTTATGGTTAAGGTTCACGGTCACAAGGGCAAGCTACGTCTGCTAGCTTTCCATCGTGACCGAGTGCTTGTAGGGATGTTCAAGTGTTTTGTAGCCCGTCGCATGATCCCTTTCAGGTTGACATTGAAAAGTTAATTCTCTAACTAGGTTACAGTGGGAAATTACTAACTAAAGCATTTTTATTTGCAACAAGGGTATGATAAGCGTTTGTACTACGCTTAAAGATATTCACCTCTAGAAAAATACCTACAAAAAATATGAAACAAAAAATTGTCATCGTAGTTTTCGAGTCGCGGAGAGCACCAGCATGTCTTTTTAGTGTTGTATTTGTATGCTTGCGTTATAGACACCAGCGACAAACCAACAGTCACAAAGGATATGTGTGCCTGAACTGCTTGAAAATTCTGGGAGTTCTAAGGGCTCACTAGTCACTCACATCTAACCGCGCCTAAATATCAGATTGCTAAAAATCACTCATTAACAAACAGTTTTTGTTGCAGAATAACACCCCGACATTAGTCATGAGTATCCGCAGCGAAATTACCTTGAAAAAAAGATTCTGTGACTTTGCATTGTGTGTAGGGAAATATTGCGTTGAGTGAAAAAATATATTTTTGCTGCAGCAGGACCACCAGGTCGTAACATCACACAACATCATAGTATTCTCATACACTACAAGGGCCTGAAAAAAGTGACTAAATGGGCAAGGCTAGATGACATTCTTCAGTATTGTGCATAGATCTATCACCAAAGAAATGCTCGAGAATTTTAAACTTCCGTGTAGTGCAGTTATGGGCTGTAGCGCACGTTACTATTCTGTATACCAGGTCAAATGCTTAATTTTCCGTATTACTTAGGGATGTTAAACGTATCATGGTTCATAAAATATTGACAATAACTACAAGCTTCACGAGAAAAAGTGTACGACAGATACACTTCTCACGTTAAATTCTGAAGTCACATGGCTCAGCATTATCTGAACTGTGAGGAACGTTTATACCGAGTATGAACACAAGTTTTCATTGCGCTCCTTATAACATACTTCTTTTTGTAAATTACACTCTTCAAAGTTTATTTTCAATTATGTATGTGTTGTGGAAGGGTTAATTTGGGATAGTTGGCACATAATATTACTAAAATATTGGGAGCATAAAGTGACGCGAGACATAGACACATAGTCATAATGAAATATTAGGAGTTCGCGCTGCCAAAATTTCATTAGGAACATATATGCATGTGTTGTCTTAGTTGACCATTAGCGAGGGTAAGAAAACCTAATTCCTTTCTTCATGTCGTATTTGCTTTCTTTTTTTTTGCAGCGTCTCAGTCTCTTCTTCAAAACCACGTTGCAAATATAAGCGTTTCTTCCCACCACTTTCAGTTTACAGGCATTGCAGTTCTCGCCCTCGTGGCTTGCCTCGCTTACGCCAAAGACACCAAGAAAGCAAATGAGAAGGACGAGAAGGACGTTGAGGGCCGTGGTGGTATCCTAGGTGGCGTGGGCCTGGGTGGCGCCGGCTATGGAACTGGATACGGTGCTGGCGTAGCACCTGGACTCGTTGGCAGCGGGGGTGGCATCGCCTATGGAGCTGGGTACGGTGCTGGAGTAGCTCCTGGACTCGTTGGAAGCGGGGCTGGCACCAGCTATGGAGCTGGATACGGGGCTGGCGTAGCTCCTGCACTCGTTGGCAGTGGTGTTGGAGCTGCGGGTCTGGGAGGTGTCGGAAACCCTGGCGTTCTTGGAGCTGGCATTGGTCATGGTGCTGGTGTTGGAGCAGCTGGGTTGGGCGTTGTCGGAAACCCAGCCCTTGTAGGATCTGGTGCAGGTCACGCAGCTGGCGTTGGAGCCCCGGGTGTCGGCATTGTCGGAAACCCAGCCCTTGTAGGAGCCGGTGTAGGTCCCACAGTTGGCATTGGTGCTCCGGGTCTCGGCGTTGTCGGTAACCCTGCTGCAGTTGGAGCAGGCGTCGGTCACGGTGTCGGTCTGGGACACGGCGTCGGTCTTGGACAAGGAGTAGGTGGTGACTTCCAGTCAGGATATGGCGCCACTGCTGGTGGCCACCAGTCTGGTTACCGAGGTGGAGCAGCCGGTCGCAACCAGGGATCTGGTGCCTTCACTGGTGGCGTGTCCCGAAGCACCGTGAATGCATTCAAGAACAACGCGGGATACAGCCACATTTCTGGCTTCTCCGCAAGTCATAGCAAGAACTTCGGTGCGGGCCACAAGCAGGGGTCTTCTGGGTTCAACAGTGGCGCCGCTGGTCACCAGGCTGGGTTCGGCAAGAGTGCGCACGGAGGTAGTGCTGGTGTCGGAGCGGTGGGCCTCGGCATTTATTAATGGTGAGTTCATGTTAGTATCGTTACTGACGTTTTGTGTACAATAAGTTTGCCAAAATGAATGTTGTGATCCCACGTACATAGGTGTTATTGTATTCGAGCATCGCTTCTTAAAAGGTTTTAAATTATCTGCGATAAACATAGACAAAGCAAAAAATGCCAGCAAGAGCACACGAAGACAATAACAGGGGATTAGGAGGGAAACACAGGGCACCACTCATAGGCTTTTGTACACGTGTGGTAGAAAAAGATCGCGTAATGCTTTGATTACGACGTAGTTGTGGTTAGTCACATGAAATCAAGAACTGTTAGAGATGAAGATTCTGGATTTGTGATATAAAAACATTGCATTCCTCGATTTTCATCAAAGGGATTGAGAAACCACGTTTTTCCTAAAAAATTAAATATCACGCCGCAGCGACTAAACGATGTTGCAGTTTTAAGTGAAATGAGTTGACCATAAACCAATCGTTTGTTTCGAATAAGGGTATTAATAGCGCAGTTATTTTGTTTTGCTTTGTCTCAGTGTCTCTGCAGTACATGTGGCGTCGTGAGAAATTGACGTCACCGCTCTTCAAAAACCACCTTTCAAAGAATAGCCATACGTTATTTATTTTTCAATTGCTTTTATTTCAGAGCATCAGAAGTTCCTGCCATCTTCCGCGTTGATCTTCATTGACACATTCTAATCAGTCCGGTCATGTGTTGTTTGACAAAAATAAACTCGTTGGCATCCTTCTGTGTTCATTTGTTACGTCTCATTCGTTCACCTGCGAACATTCTGCAATGCATGAAAACGTCTAATAGAAGTCCGCGATATTGCACTACGCTGATCATCAATGCGGTGACAAAAGTACGGCTGCGTAGAGAACTCGGAAGCCCAACCATGGTAGCATGGAGTCAATATTTAAACCATAGTTATTATTTGGGTTGAAAAAGCTGCAAGCTCTACTCACAAGAATCTATCTATATCTATCTATCTATCTATCTATCTATCTATCCACCTGCGACTTCTAGCTCTCCTAAATAATGGGATATGTATCGAAATTGGTATGGCGCAACATGACTCTATGATGAGCATAAGTCACAAGTCATATTAAGACAATTATGTTACATGTCATGAATATCATGATTTACATGTCATTTGCTTGCTGCTCTTGCGGTGGTTTTGCTCACATAACTTATTTTAAACTGGTATGGTATGACATGACTGCATCGCAAACATAAGTGACAGGCCCTAACGAGAAAATCATGACATGCATGTCATGTAAGTCTTGACTACATGTCATACGCTCATGGTGTGCTCGCGGTCGTTTCGCTTGCTTCAGACATAAAAATTGGTATTACATAATGTGAATGGATGACGAAGGTATGTCACTGGTGCAAACACGATATTCATGACGCGCGTGTCATGTAAGAACATGACAACATGCCAGGCTCATGATTTGCTCGCGGCTGTTTCACTAGCTTCTCATATACGAAATTCGGTATTACGAAACGCGAATGGACGAAGATGACTATGAGTGGTGCAAACATGATAATCATGATATGGCTCTCATGTAAGAACATGACTATATGCCACGCTCATGATGCGCTCGCGGTCATTTCGCTGGCCTCACATATACCCAATTTGGTTTTGCGTGACACGAACGGATGACGAAGGCAAAGGACACGTCCAAACATGGTAATCTTGACGTGCTTGTCATCTAAAACAGGGCTACATGCTACGCTCGCAACGGACTTGCGGCCGTTTCGCTAGCTTCACATGTACCCAATTACGTATTACGTAGCGGGAATAATTGAAAAGTTATATGACTGGTGCAAAAATGATAACCATGACATGCGTGTTATGTAATACATGACGGCATACTAAGCTGTACTAAGCTGGTGATGCACTCACGGCCGTTTGGCTAGCTTCACATACCCCGAATCCAGTGTTACTGGTGCAAACACAATAATTGATTGATTGATATGTAGTGTTCAACGTCCTGAAACCACCATATGTATATAAGAGACGCCCCATTGGAGGGCTGCGGCAATTTCGAACACCTGTGGTTTTTTAACGTGCACCCGAGTCTGAGCACATGGGCTTACAGCATTCCCGCTTCCATTGGAAATGCATGAAGCCGCAGCAGCTGAGATTTGTCCCGTGACCTGCGGGTCAGCAGCCGAGTACCTTAGCCACTAGACAACCGTGTCGGAGCTGATGTAAGCAGGATTATCGTAACATGTGCGCAATGTAAAAACATGACTATATACTCATGATGCGTTCACGGCCGTTTCGCTGGCTCTTCATATACTAAATTTGGTATTACGTCACGTGAATAGATGACGAAGGTATATGACTGGTGCAAACACGATGACCATGATATGCGTGACTGCACGCTACGTTTTCAGCACGCGTACAGTCGTTTCTCTAGCTTCAAATATAACAAATTTGGTATTATGCAATAAAATGAAACTTCGGCCAGTTGGTTTACGACATTCTGAGTGGCATTTCGGCACGCACATAGTAGAGGGGTTTGTAACCTCGCTATCCGTTCTTTTGTCCACTGTGTGCGCACTGAAACGGTTAGCAAAAATTTTGTATTACGTGAATAAATAGTCAACTTCACGCCAAATGAACAACCACACAGAGAAAGACACATACACACCACGGTAGCGCCCTTGGTGTCTATGTGTATTTCTTTCTTGTTGTGGTTGTTCATTTTGCGCGAAGTTGACTATTTAATCAAGACATGCACCAACTAGCCCAACAGCGAGTTCTACTTGGTATTACGTGAATGGATCACGAATACAAATGCCAGGTGCAACATGATAATCAGGACATGGAAGTCACGTACGGCATAATTTACATGCCCTGCTGGTGCTGGTATTTCAAGTGTTAGTTGTGCCGTCGGTACGCGACTATAAACAACGTACTTGCATCTTATCTTGATGCGTGAGTGCACATAAAATTACGTCCGCATCAATACATTGTGCTATTTCTAAAGTGACATATCAACCATCCTCATTCATGCTTCGCATTTCATCGATTCCCTCTGAACGTGAGATCTGCGAATTTTGGCGAGATAACAAACATGGCTTCTCATCCTTACACAGCCATAACTTATCTGTTACGCAAAAAGCCACAGCTTTGACGCAAAGGTGAAGCAATGAACAGGATAGCAACAAATCAGAAAGTCACGCGCGGAATGGCCAGCAGATCGAAACGTTTCCGCGTTTCTCGCGCACAAATGACGCACGAAACATACACTCAGGTGCAGATGAATGCGAACAGGCGTCTCATTTGTTAATTCACTGTGTCTGAAAAGCGCGCTTTTTTGGCAAAGGGATTCTGTGCAACAATTTTAGTGACCTTTGTGCGCCCTGTAACTGCAACAGAATCGTTCGGTAAACGCCTAAGGCCATTCAAGACGTACGAATCTTACCGACGCGAGATGAGGGTGCGCGAGCAAGTGTCAACACTATCCTCTTCGCGGGGTAAAGTGCGCGTGGGAGATGAGAGCGCGCGCCACCGCATCCTGACGATGTTGCTACGCGCGCTCATTGCGTCATCTTGCTTGTAATGCTGATAACACGATAGTTCCCCTACGAGATGCCCGTCAGCAGCGGTAAGTGGTAGATACAGATAGGTTACCGGCTTGAACGTGGTGAACATGCTTAATGCCTCAGTGGTTAACGCCACGCACTCACAATTCAGAGGACCCAAGCTCGATTCCGCGCCCCTGAGTCTTTGCTTTGAGTTCTTTTTTTCTAGCATTTTCGTATATATAGATACATACACATATAAGGTGAATGACGGCGATGCCCACGTTGACGCCGACGCCAGCGACATCGGCAAATTTAAGTCAAAAGTGTCCAAATAAATATTATCACAAAAAAGAGAGAAACAAGGTGGTAACAATGCTGTGAGTTCATACAACACTTTTCGCTCTATAAATACATGAAAACGAAAAACACAGAAAAATAACTGTTTTGGTCACGTCACCTCAAATACAAAAGCTACAAGTATAATGCATGTTCAATGTATGGTGCTTAAGTGTATCTTTTTTGCACTATAAATAAAGAAAAAAACTTGTGTCCTACATCCCGAAAACCGACTTTAATCACGGTTTTGTGAATTGCCCTAAAAAGCCCCTTCCCCTGTAGCAAGGGTCAGAACTCCAAGAACGATGGGAGGCTCCTGTGCGGAGGTTTAAACCGGGGTTAAAGCTCCGGGCAGTGGGCTGGGCCAGAGGGGTCGCCGAAGCCCAGATGTGTCCGGCCACCTCAAACTGCTAAAAGGCCCATCATCATCCTGATTCAATATCCCCCCTCCACCCCCTTCACACGTTTCTTTAACGAATGAAAAAATTGTATACCTATCTACTTTTTCACCTGCCAGAACAAAAAAAAAGACCCCAATTCAGTGCTCATCATTGAATAAAATTGATAATATTTGTTTGTTTAATGCATTTAAAACATGATGTGGCTAATAGAGATGCCGTGGAGGGCTCATGAAAGTTCAATCCATTGTTGTTTTTTTTTCACCCATAGATATTTCAGCACAGGGCTCTCCGGAATTTAACTTCCATTGAAAAGTGGCCGCCTGGGCACGCCAGATTTGGGTAGGTATAGTAAAGCACCATAACCATGCCACCACAGTGTACAGCGCTTGCCAATTAGTTTTATGGCGTACAATGAATGAAGAATGGGGAAATTGTGGTTTTATCTCCCCCAGTATGAAAGAAACAGGTAAGCACCAAATGTCGCAAGAAAACGTATAGGTGATCCGGATGTGCAAATATGAAAACTTGTTAGCTTACTCGAAAAATTTAACCATGGCATGTAGGGGCGTAGCCAGAATTTTTTGTCGGGGAGGGGGTGTGAGGTCCGCACCGAACCGACTGTTGGGGGGGGGGGGGCAGCCATTGGCTTTCCTCTGTGATGCCACCGTTGAATAAATTTTCCTTTTGTGAGGCATTTAATACTTTCGCCTTAACACACTGTGTGCCAGTAGGTCCACAAAATTGCAGCGACCCCTGGTGTTCGGGGGAGGGTGCGTGCAGTAATCAGGCAGGATAATTGGTCTCGTAGTAAATCTTCGTACTTGCAGTCGAATGTGTAACCGTAATTTACAACCTGAATATTTAATAAATTACAAGAAGTGGTGACTCAAGACTGATTGATTGATTTGTGGGGTTTAACGTCTCAAAACCACGATATGATTATGAGAGACGCTGTAGTGGAGGGCTCCGGAAATTTTGACCACCTGGGGCTCTTTAACGTGCACCCAAATCTGAGCACACGGGCCTACAACATTTCCGCCTCCATGTGACTCAAGACTGCCCTTCACCTTTAGAAGCATGGCAATCAGTAGACAGTCGATAGCATACCAGGCTCACAAGGTTGCTGGGCGTACCATGATAGTGGGATCGAAGTGCGCGTGCGCAGATACGTACGTTACCCGTACCGCTTACCGTACGCACGCTATTTTTCAGGTTTAACGTTACCGTGGTAGCGTAGCTATGCGTATAATACGTACAGCGTGGCGGCGCTCTCGGAACGCCACTTCGAAGTGATTTGGACGTAGTTAATATAAGATTCACATCGTTCGTACAAACGTCTGTTTAAAGTGGCTTCGCTTGCCTTCAGTTAGACTCGATGACCGAGTATTACGAGTTGGCGTAGTTTATGAGATAGCTCCCTATTTGGAACGCGTCTATGTCTAACTGCAAGATCGATGTAAACAAATTGG